ATTACCTTTCCCAACAATGTTTCCAGGAAAATGAAGAGTTTGGGTGGGTTTTTTTTGTCCAGGAAGGCTAAACATGAAGTCAATACAGTGTATCATGTAAGCATCTCTGAGTATAAGCAAAACCTTTCCTAAACCTCTTAAGAAATTTTCTGTAGTTTTTGAGAAATCAGACCTAGAAAAACTTAAAAAAATTATTAGCACAAAGCAAGTGAGAGCAGCTCTGGTGAACAGCCAGCTCTGGTGAACACACAGCTCTGCAGTAAAGCCTGAACTCAGCAATTCTTACTGCAGCATCTCTGGGTGCCCAGGGAAAATGTTCAAGAAGATTCCACCAGTCACCATACACAAACCACAGTCCTCATCAGAGGAACTCCACATGCACAAGGGATGTGTGCAAATCTCCCGGGGACCCTGTTAATGCCTCGGAGTCCAGGATTTTAAGCTGAAAGGAGGCTTAGGTGGATGAGTAAAGGGTGGAGAAATCAAGGGTAAGTTCCACTACCACAGCAGCCTTGTGCTCACCAGCATCAGCATGCTTTATTTAGGATCCCATGCTGCAGCATCAGGATCCCTTGGCCAGGGCTGACCATCTAGCAAGGAATGGCTACTATGGCCCACAGCTGGTATTAGGCTACCTCAGATAAACACAGCAACTACTTACTCTCTCAGCAGGGTATTCACCTGCTACAAAAAATCAGCTCTTTATTCTACTTCACTATTTCCAAGCCAAAGGTGACTAGGGGCTGCCAGGTCAGTAAGAAGACAGCAGTACTGATGCAGTGAGTCTACTCCTCTGCTCTCCTCTAGCTGTGCTCCTGCAGCAAGTGTTTGACCCTCGTGTCAGGAGAAAGCACACCAAGAGTGTTCTGACACAGCTGGTAATTAGACCCTGACTCAGCTTCATAGTCAATTTGTTGCATACAATTACTGTGACTGTTCAAGGAGGTATTAGCATTTCTGTACGGCACAGGACTCTAATACAGGTTTTCTGCTGGTCACAACCACCACCATATAGTTCACCTCTAAGGGTTACCACTTTCTAGCATCCCAGATCTGCCCAAGGACCACGTATGGTTTTCTAGAGCTCTGCTTCCACGAGCTCTGTATTCTGCTAGGTTGGCTCTTCTTACAAAGAATCACCATCATTGATACCACTGTCAAGTTAGTCACATACTTGGTTTAAAAAGGCATATGAGAATGGAGAGAGTGGGATCAGAAATTTCAATGGAAAAGAAGCACAATCCTGACTTCTCTTGTAAGGCTGGTATAAAAATGAGGCCTTCATTTCCTCCTAAAGCTATTCATCCTCATGCAGCCTTTCTTTGATTTACCAGTTCATGACTAACCTTCTTCTCTAACAGTCACCTGGTTTGTTTACTATTAGCTGCTGCTACCACCAACTCCTCTTCCCTGAACTGCTAAAGTTAGCATTGAAAGATGCTTGAAAATCTTGAATGAGAATTAGCTAATACATCATGTAAACCATAGGATGCATGCCTGTTTACAAAGCATCAAGACCAGGGTGCTGATATCTGCAGAACTGCCATCCATAAGCAAGCACAGGAAGTAACGGGAAGAAAAGCAGGTTGTTTACCTCAGTAAGGTGCAAACTGCCTATTGTTTTGTTTATCAAATGCAAAAGCAGCAAACAAATTTTTGTTTCTTGTTTAGATACAACCAGGTTTTGAAGCACTAAAACCACTACTAACCCTAGGGGCCCCATTCAGTAGTTGCCTTCCCAGCCTAAACCCTGACTAAGGCAGTGTTTGTGTGCATTAAAAACAAGGTTACAATGACAGACGATGTCCTTCAGAAATGGACGATTCTGACGGTAACAGCTCCAAGACAATGTTTTTTCCACCCATGTGCATTTGGAGGTCCAGCAGACCAAGCCCTTTGCACTTCCCATTCAGCAGCTGTTCAAGCCTCATGCTGCAGGAACCCACTCCAATACCACAGATTCAACATGCACGTCTACAGCATTCCCGTAATAAGGCTCAGAAGGAACCATTAGATCACAGAGAGATTAAGACCATTCCCGCACAGACAGGAAAAGCAACTTTAGACCTTTCAGCTGGAAGAGTCAGATGATCCCTCCCTTGCTTAAGACATCATTAGCCAAGATCCCTTCCTCCATGTGCCTCATCCTCCTGTCAGTTTGCAGCTTAAACCCTTCACGTTTCCAGTTGCATTTTATTTGCATTTACAGCTATGCAACACACTAAGCTATTCCTCTCCATCTTCACTTCTCCGGGTGTTTAGATTATCTCTTTGCTAAAGAAGAGATTCATCTGGCATCTCAAATGAAGATATTTTCACTTTACTGAAGACAAACTGTTTTTCTCCAGTCACTATTTGCTCCAGATCTCCTCTGCAGCTTGTAGGGGCCACAGCTAGGTCTGGAATGCGTTTCACTGAAAACACTACTCAGCCAAACTGCACCTTTTACTTGTGCCTACTAATGGCTGGATGGAGATTAGAGAAGACTAGCAGTTCAGTCTTCCTTTAGCCAGGTACCTGCAACTAACTACAGACCCACACTGACTTGTAGCTGGGTTGTGTATGTGAACATTAAACACAACACACAGCTGGGAGGAAATCTCTCCTCCTTAAGCCTCCTGGATAATAACACGCCAATACGAATAAGAGGTATAGAAGAGGCAAAAACAAAGTCAGGATCAGGATGATAATGATTAGAAACTCAACACCTCACAAAGCGAATCCATGGAACTTTAAATATTCCCCTCGCATACTAGCAGTTGCTTTGATTTTTTGCACACCTAGCTGGAGGAAATGGAATAAGAGGATGTGGCAAACGGTTTATGCAAAAACACAATTATAGCAAGGTGTCCTTAAGAATTCCATAATTAAAAATAGCATGCAAATACAGCTGAGTGGCCAGCCTTCTGAAACACACCTACTGCAGCAACTGGATTTAAAAAAAATAATGATCAGGCTTTTTTCCAAGGCAAATTAAAGTAAACAAATTGCATGTTTCAAGAACGTTTTTCCACTCACCATCAGCTCACTTTTGGGAAAAAAACCCATTGCTAGTATTACAACAAAACAAAAAAAAAAACCCCAACAACAGTAATTCAAAGAGATGGAGGAAGAAAACAGAAGAATACAGGAACCATACCCAGAAAGGGAGCTCCTACTTCACTCCAACTTACAAACACAGTTACATATTTCAGCCCAAAATTTTGAATGGAGTGTAGGGGAATAGGGATGAGCTTTACTGTGCTTATTTCCCTACCAGTTTATCATTCTTTTTTGTGTTTTTACATACAGAGTTACAACTGACTTGTCAGGAAAACTCTCTAATTGTAGCTACAGCAAACCTCAAGCTTAGTGAGGAGCTCTGGATGTAGCAGTAAGGACTGACTCACGCCACCCAGCTGAATGACCCCACTGGCCTGAATCTCCAGCCATCTGCTCAGAGTTCATGTGAAACAGTGAGCTTCGTTACCCTTTACCTCACAGTTTGCTACAAAGGTCTGTGCAAAGGAAAAAGATTCAGCTAAAATGGTATCCGTTGATCAGGTGGTTTTTCTAACTACACTGAAAACCTGAAGACTAAAAATATTCACAAATAATCACAAAAACGTGTGCCCCGCATAGTTCCTGTAAACATATACTAAGGACTGAGAATGGGTTCACCAACCATGGAAGTGTTTGGGAGCCCTATCATGTTTTTACAGCAAAAACCATGTCCTTGTTCAAACCAGAAGTCAGTTCTGGTTCTGGTTCTGTTACATTTCAGATTACATCAGGAAATCACAAATGTTCCATCTAGTTTCAAAAACAATTTGATAACAGGAGCTTAAGCAATATGTCTCTGGGGATGGAATTAGTACGTGGTAACTCTGTACTGCAGTTAAATAAGAATTCATGTAAATCACTGAAAACAACAAGGCAAGTGAAGGTGAGAGCCTTCAGTTTTTGCTTGACACTCCACTCATGGTCCCTCTTCCAGTTATCATTGGAAGCTGATGGCAGCTCGCTATAAATTCTTGCCTGGTCTCCTTTATCAGACCTTCCTCTCATACACACAGGGGAAAAAAAAAAAAACCAACCCAAAAATAATATTGCCAAATGACAAACAAGTCACAGAAAATTAATTCCAAATCCTTGAGAATATGCTGAAGATAAACAACAAGTCTTGTTGCTACACTATAATCTAAGAATTAAATAGTATCTATAGCCTTGTTATTTCTATCCCTTAGAAAATATCTGACAAGCTTTGAACATAATAAAAACAACCCCCATATTCTGAAGTTCAAAAATAAGCCATTAAAGTTACCATTTTGGGAAGCAACTGAGGAAGAATTCTCATTGATATATTGCAGAGTTCTCTACTTCTATCAAGTTAAGGAATGTTTGCCTTCAATGCTTCTGGTTTCAGCTATCCTGTCTTACAAGTCCACAGCTCAGATCTGCTGAGATAAAATCCCAAAAGTCTCGCAGGTGCCTCCAGCCATGAATGACAATTTTGACTCTTAGATACACACGCACACATACATAAACCCAAGCAAGTAACACTTGAAATCTACAGATACTCTTATCTGTATTTCTTACACCACTTACCAGTAATTCATGTACTGTTAAGAGACGTGTTTTAAGACATATTGTTGAAATAGGCTGCCCTGGAAAACCATTGGTTGCCCCTTCAGAAGTATCTTCTTAAAATTACTACACCTATTGCAACCACACCGAGTTAATTCTAAAACAATGTGTAGATGTCAACATCAAGACTTCAACTAGGCAACTTTTGTCATGTAGTGAGGTACGTTGTGAAGAATGCAATGAGGAAAAAAATACCCAAGTGACCCAGAAACCCTGGGAGTGCTTTTAAGTTCCTTGAAGGGAAGCGTCAGCCCACGTGCTATCCACACACCAGCACACCTCAAAACTCTGATGCCAACTTTTGCAATTTAAAGAATCCTTATTTCAGCAGCCTTAAGCCATTCCTTTCCACAGAGCACTAATGTCATACTTACGTAAAAAGTGTTTTTCCAGTAAGGCTATTTCCAGGTGACCTTTGATCTCATTCAGTCTGTCAGACTCCGTTCTGTTAAAATCCTGGACCCCTGAAGCCATGATGATGGTCCCTGGACCAGCCTGTAAGAAAGCCAGAACATAGTGCCAGCTCAGAAGTACATTGTTTTGTCATTTAAATACAGCATCTTACTTCTGGGGCAGTAAAGAAATAGCCACATGAGAAACATGCAAGTACCAACAACTTCTCCGGCCTCTTTTGCAGCATTAAACTACCAGAATAAATGAGTGAAAGCTTATCAAATGCACAGCATCTCTCCCATATGAGTTTACAGAATGCACTTCTGCAGGCCTCTGGGAGTTACAGAAAAGAAAGATATTTTCCCCCCTTTACCAGTTCTGCTGCATCAACACTTAGCTTTTCTTCTGCTGATTTAAAAGGGATATTTATACTATCCCTCTCTCCTCTTCCCATTAAATGAACGGTCAATGCAACATACTTCACACATAAAATGTGAAGCTAGCAAAATAATACTTTTCTAGATATTTACAGAGCTATTATAAAACCCATACTGTACATTTTAATATCCACTTATGGAATTTGTAATTCTGAAGACCACAGTGTCTCTGCAAAGAAGGGGTCTTCCCATTCCCTGACCTCCAGCACAGCCCGGTTACTGCTGAAGGATAGCACTGGTGCCCAAAAGCTGATCATGACAGGCCAGGAGTGGAGGGAGTCAGGAGACTCTGTTGACAGATTTACCATCACCCCTCAAATGAACTCAGCACTGGAAATGCTGCAGAATGCAGGAATTCAAGAGCAATTTGATGTGTTAGGAAGAGCAGTGACAACCACCACCCTTCCCGAAGTGAGTGCTGAAAAACCCCCAATCCCACATGGCAGAAAGCAGGGGATGCTGTCTTTCTCTCATAAAGTGGGTATTTTCAGACAGCAGGGGAAATGGGGGAGGTGAAGGCATCTCCTGTGTAATGGTTGTTCAGTTGCTGCATGCAGTCCCACCAGGTATGAAAGTGTGTCAACAGGAATTACAGGGGCTTCTCCAGCAGCTTATACCCAAAACCAAAGTGCTAGATTACAGAAATTATCTCAAGACAAAAAGGGATTTATTTACCATTCCTCCACCCTCTGTTTGAGCCCTGAAAACATACAGGAACTGTATTGCTTTCAGAAGTCAGCTTGCATACATTCAACCATGACAGCTTAAATTACATACATATACAAACTCAACTAATCTACAAGAGAGTTAATTAAAAGACATTTCCTACATTTCATGAAAGATGTGCAGAAAGCACACAAAGCAAAGTACTTTCACTGCTGGGAAGTACTTTCACTGTTGGGAGTGATTTGCACTTTTAAGATAAAACAGTGTGGAGATACCTACTAAACATCTGTTTTCTTGCTTGAGCTGAAGAGATGCTGAGTTTAAGCCTCAGAATTTGTCTATACAGGCAAATTAGCACTCTGTAGGCATGTACTGCACAGCATTTACCTGGCATCAACTCCCCACCTGGGCTTGCTCAATACAGTGCCAAGCAGAGATGCTATTTCCAGTCCCAAAAGCAACACACACCCACACAGCACTCTGCCAACGCTGCTGGCCCCGATGAGGAGCAGAAGCTGTTAGCTTAGCAGCAGCCCTGAGCTGATTCCCACTTTGGAGCAGGCACAAAGCATGCCATAGCACAGACAAACAGCTCACACAGGGAGCTGCAGCATCCTCCTCCCTGTACTCCACATTTCCTGTTCACATCTGCCCACAGCCAGAGAGGTGCAGCAACACATGCCATTTGCAACCACTCCAGCCACTGCTAAACAGTAACAGCTGCCTGTTTTCAGATGCGCATGGGACAGCAATTAACCTCTGTGTTGATTTCTTATCTATAGAGCTGGGTCATATTTATTTACACTGCAAGACTTAGCGTTACCACTTGCCAGACACTGGGAAAGCCCCAAGGGAGATGGCGTGGCTCAAGTCAAACAGCAGCACTCTTACAACACGCTCTACCATCAGGCACAAGGAAAAGGTTATTGAATTACAGATTGCCACCCAGGCATTAAAGCACAGCTTTCTATATTGTATATCCACATCTGGTACAAAGGGACAATCTCTGCTGCCTGCACACAGGATTCCATATGGAGCTGTCTAAAGAAACAGTGCCACTGCTTAAAAGTAAGTAAGTCAATCAGTGAAATCACATACAGGTCAAAGAGCAACCTGCCATACTCATCAGGAATGCACCTGGGCTTTGCACATCAGCCCAGTGCTTAGACAGCGCCTGGCTCCTGCCCAACTAGTCCCTGGTCTCCAACCCCTGTGGAAGGGACAGAAGCACAGAGACTGAGGTGAGGGAAGAGAGGAAGAAAGGGGCTATCAAATATCTAAGTATATTCAAATTTTCATCTTCACTGGAGGAAGGGATGCCATCCAGAGCAACCTTGACAGGCTCGAGAGGTGGGCCAGTGTAAACCTCATGAAGTGCAACAGGGCCAAATGCAAGGTCCTGCACATGGGTCAGAGCAATCCCAAGCACAAATATAGGCTGGGCAGAGAATGGATTGAGAGCAGCCCTGAGGAGAAGGACTTGGCTGACGCGAAGCTCAACATGAGCCGGCTTCAGTGTGCACCTGCAGCCCAGAACCCAGCCGTGTCCTGGGCTGCATCCAAAGGAGCATGGCCACAGGTCGAAGGAGGTGATTCTCCCCCTCTACTCCTCTCCTGTGAGACCCCACCTGAAGTACTGTGTGCAGTTCTGGGGCCCCAACATAAGAAGGATGCGCACTTGTTAGAGGGAGTCCAAAGGAGGCCACAAAGATGATCAGAGGGATGGAGCACCTCTCAGACAGGCTAAGTGGGGCTTGTTCAGCCTGGAGAAGGCTCAGGGGGAGACCTTACAGCCACCTACCAGTACCTAAAGGGGTGACAAGAAATCTGAAGAGGGACGGGACAAAGGGGAATGGCTTTAACCAGAAAGAGGGGAGATGTAGATTAGATACTAGGAAGAAATTCTTTACTGTGAGGGTGCTGAGACACTGGAAGAGGTTGCCCAGAGAAGCTGTGGATGCCCCACCCCTGGCAGTGTTCAATGACAGGTTAGACAGGGCTTGGAGCAACCTGCTCTAGCGGAAGGTGTCCCTGCCCATGGCAGGGGGTTGGAACTGGATGATCTTTAAGGTGCTTTCCAACCCAAACCATTCTGCAATTCTATGACTCATTCTGGAAGTTTCCAAATGCGTATATCTGCTAAAGCATTGGATCTAAGAGGTATGACATCAGTTGATGGGTTAAAAATCAGGAGGTACGCATCATTAAACTAACCACAAAAGGTTACAATGACTTCCTAAGTTAGAGGAAAAAAAAGAATAAAAATATCCATTAAGTTAAAATATAAAGCTGCTTACTAAGAACACAGGAAAAGTAAAATGGTTTAACCAGAGTAGTAAGATACAGTGATGCAAGTTTGGTGGAAAATAAAGCATCCAAGTTCTAAAATCAGTGACACCATAACATATTAATGAATACAACTTAGAAGTGTTCAGAAAATTGAGCATGTCCAGGGAAGTGATATGAGAGACATCTAGGCAGATGGTTCTTCTGTCCCAGAAGTTTTTTCCCCAAACCAACACACCTCATTCTGTCAAGAGGTGTTAATGGGCTAAAAAGATGAGAAATAAGGTCTGTAAATTTGCTGGAGGTCAACTGCCTGCCTCTGAATTAAAAAAAAAGTACTTCTATCTGAAGTTAGCAGTGTGAACTTGGTAAAGGTTTCTCCTTTCTGCTGCCTCCGTAGCTAGTGATGGGACTCAGGCTAGATTAACTACACCGTACTGTACAGATGCCCTTTCTTGCTTCTGACTTACAGTAAAAGCCTTGAAGGCTTCCACTGATTTCTGCTTTTCCTTCTGCCTCTCTAACTTTGACAGTATTTGACACAGAGTCCTCTTAAAATGTTGGCTATTACTTAGCAAAGCCTGCTCACAAGGCTTGATGGTACCTAGGAAGCCACCGAAATGCCATAGTAGAGCATGGATTCTGAGGCAGACGGGTTAAAGGAAGATTTCTGCTGACACCAGATTGCCTCTAACCCACTGTCAGAGTTCAGAGCTGCATTCCCAAGCCATATCGAGCTCTGGGTCTGAAAAACCACAGCTCCCCACAATGTGTTTTCAAGCATGTGCAGCTCAGGCTTTTTGGCAGCTCTTCCCAACCTGACAGTTCTCTGCCTTCCCTTCCTTCCCTCCCCAAGCCCCCTTCATCCCGCAAACCCTTACCTAGAGAGGGTGTAACTTCATGGGTTTCTCAACTGACACTTCATGTGCATTTTCTTACCTCAAATTACAAAAGGGTTCCCCAAGGCTGCTGCACTTACCTGCTGTAAGGAAAACCCAACAACACCGCTCAAGAACAAAAGCATCTGCATGAATAGTTAATCCTTAGTAGCTATTCTTGGAAGCATACCCATATTGGCAAGCTCCTGAAAACACAGCTATATCTTACATAAATCAGAAAAACCCAACAAAACCAAGACTAGTGCTAGCTAATTGTAATGTTTGTACAGTGATTTATACCTTCCTAAGCATCACGCTTTATACTTTCCAATCATTGTAAATGAGGTGACCAATACAGAAGCATTTAAGATTTTAATAGACAAGTTTCAGGAAAAGCCAAACTGTACTGGAATAGCAATTAAATTAGTGTTTTCTGTACCAAGGTAACTCAGATTTAAGCCTAGCACACTGGCAGGCAACTTGCATAAGTAGATTAGACTGGTTCAGTACAATATGTCAGCTACAAAAGCCCTTCAACTTGTAATTCTCACTGCTAGGTTAGTGAAGAACCTCCATGGGTTTAAACATTAATTTGTTCTTTCCCCCCTCTGCTGAAGGGGACCTGATCCTCCTCTGCACTGTCTTCATTCAGTACGGAACACTTTATCCCCTTTTATAGAAACAGGACCTTTCACATTGGGAGTACAGAAATTCATCTATAGCACAAAACGACAAAAGTTAAAATTAGGCAAAACAAGCCAGAACTGGCAAATCTAAGGGCGGGCTATGATTTTCAGGGCACAGTTCCCCTGCCTGAACACTTGCAAACATTTGCATCTTAGCAAATCAAGTTGCCAGAGCAATATTTTAAAGCTTTTTTAGGCGCAGAACTGTGATCTAGCAGGAAGGAACCCATGCTGCATACACAGAATAGGAAACTATGATGGCACTGAATAAAGGGGACTTTAATTACCAAGCAAGCAACACTACCTGAATTTCCAATGTCACAACAGGACAAATGCTAATACATTCACTATTAGGAAGTAGGAATGGACCAGATTACCCCTTCTACCTACTCAGTGATTGTGGTGTTTTTACATAACAATGCAGAAATAAATGCTGCACACAGTGCTAAATGTCCTTGCTTTAAAAACAAACTACCACCTATGGTAAAGAAGAAAGGGAGGAAGAAATCTGGGAAGCCATTCAGGAACTGAAAGAGATGCTTAGCAAAGAGCTAATTTGCTAATCAACACAGCTGTCTTGGCAATGATCTGATCAAGTGTCCAAGGATCCACAGAGACCTAAGAAAGCACCCAAGACATACCTAGTAGTCAGGGCACTTAAATGAGAGGGGGTGAAAAATGCCCATACAAGCCAACAGCCAGCCTGTAAGTTGAGATCAAACTAGAGCAAATCAAGAGCAAGACACCTTTTTAACAAAGCCTCAGAAACCACTGAGGAAAATTCCAGGGAAAAAGAACAAATTCTTCCAATCCCAGAGCCCTCCTACCAGGAGGCAGCTGTGTGCTTTACCCAAACATGAGCCAGGATGCATATTACTGAACTAAACAGGTAAAGTTCACAGTTTCAAGATAAAGAATATAAGATGACGTCATCTGGCCATCCTTTCTGTCTTTCCACTGGGTGTGAATTTTGTACCTGCTACTTCAGTAAGACATGTGAAGTGTTGGGACTAAGTCCCACTGCTTTATCTGTGGCCCAGGACTGAATGTTCACTGTTGGAGGTGCACAACAGAGAATGCTGCTCCTTACAGATGGTCAGAGCTCTGCAATCACAAGCTTTCTGACAAGGCTTTTTATTCTAAAACCTCCATTTGTAGCAAGTTTTTGCATATGCTTGTCAAGTTCAGACACGCACGTAAAGAAGAGGCACCTAATGTGCACATTTCTAAGTTCACTATGTACTCTTGAGGCACAGTACAGAAGGGCCTTTCATTCATGACACTGCTGTACTGTTCTAATAAATGGAGATCTTTCTTTAATGGCTCTGTAATGAATAATACACCAGACTGAAGGGTGGGGGGGAAGAAGTAGAGAAGGGCAGAGATAAAGCCTTTGTCAAGGGAATGGCAGACAGTGGAGTCAGATATCTACATGTTGAAGATAAGGGGGCCAGCACTCAAATTTTGTATGCCTATGATCAGTTCTAAGCCACCAATCTTGCTCTTTGAAGCCCATGAGCTCTGTACTCAGATTTTAATGGAATCAGTGAAGCAACAGAAGTGGAAGCACAGTACTGCTCACATTTATCTGAAAGGACATGCAGCAGAACTTCAATTCATGCACAAGACTTGCATTGACTTTTGTATGCTTTCAACTGTTTCCCAAAGGCATTAAACAGGAAGAAATGAACAAGACTTGGTCTTCTCATGATCAGCGTACTCTGCTTACAGAGAAAACAACCCAGTACAAGCGATTTAAGATTTGATTTTTAGTCACCAAATTAAAAACAATTCAGGCACAATTCAACCATGTGACCTCAGTAAGAAACAGAGACATAGTTCAGAATTGCTCTGTTTGCACTATCTCAGCCACTGTTTTAATACTGACTTAAATATACAAGCATTACTGACTTTTCTCCTGGCACGTCTGTAGTACAGGGGATTATTTCTTCTCCCTTCAGTTTACAGAAGGGCAACAATTTGAGAAAACAGAGACCATCATTATAGATATGCGGCCGCAAGGCTTTATAACTAGCCAAAACCGTAGGTTTACTTCACTATTCTCTCTGCCATACCATCTTGGAGCTACTAGCCTCTTAAATAAATGCAGAAAATAGTACCTAGAGTTCAAGACAGATCTTTCTGTAGCCTCTTGCTCTGCCACCCAGATCCTTCTGATTAGATACAATAGTATAGATGGAATGATAGGTATTTATGTGTGCTCTCCACACATAAACATAATGACTTTAGTTTAATGAAAACAAGACAGTGTTTACCTACAAAAAACTTGAGAAAATACCACATTGGAAGGGCAGCAGCACAGATGAGTCCCAGCATACACAGTACATACATCTTAACAAATAGCAGACGTCTTCAGTAGAATAAGAGCAAAGGAAAGGCATTCAGCAGACTTCCTTGTCCAAGGAGCTTGATGATTTGCATACAACAGACTTTTTGTGACCGAAAAATGCTCTGTCATTAACCCTTTTTTGCTCCATGATCACAGGAAAAAAAAATTCTTGCAAAAGAGCTCCATATAAGCAGGACTGTATGTGGTATCATACAGGCCCACTTAAATATAAAAAACCTGATAGCTACAGAACAGGATACAAACCCCAAAGGAGGTGCTTAAGCATACACAGTTTGAAGTCTTTTAGTTTAAAACTTGTGGTGAGCAAACTCCGTACTTCTAGGAATGAGCTTTCAGACAACAGCCTGACCATATTTTGAGGATAAGAACTCCACAGTGAGTTTCCAAATAGGGTAGTACAAATTCTAACTTCCAAGTCACATTCTATAATACAGTTTCATGGACAAGTCTTAACTCGGATTGTTGCACTCCAAGCTCAAGCATCCACAGCCATTTTTTAACAGTTAAAGTAGGATTTAATTTATTTTTTTTACCCAATATTTAACTTTACCTGAAACAGTGTATTTTAAAAAGGTAAGTCTGGATGCTTTTGCTTACAAGCACCAAAAGATTTTAGCATGTCCTGCATAAGTTTAAACCAGCTCTACTGCATGGAAGCATTACTGGGTATAACACTGTGGCAAAGAACAAGATGGTGTGACCCTCAATCTCTAATGAAGCCACCAGAAGTCTTATCCCTGCAGACCTGGTGTCCTGGGTTCAGCTTAAACCACGACACCTGGCCAATGCCATTAGGGCAGATCTGTGTTCCTCAGACTGAAAACAAGTCCTTCTTCCAAATGTGTTCACTAGTAATTCAACAAAACAAAATGCAGACAGCATTCAGAAGCACATCCAAGTTTAACAAACCTGTCAACCCACCACACCTAAAATCAATTGTAAGCACAGGGAACCCTAATACTAAGAAATTAATTGATCTTTCCAGAAAACGGAAGCCTACTACTGAAGCTTACTTCTTACTCCACAAATCTTCAAATGTTAAATCCAAAATACAGAGACAAAGAATTATTAATTCCTGTTACTTTTCTGCTTGACAAATATATAACAATATAACAACACTTAAGTACTTACAGGGTCTCTCAGCTCTTCATTGTCTCGAGTTGATGTTCGAGGTATTTTCACCGGGATTTCATCTCCACATTCAGTGTCAGAAGCATTTGGAGACTCTGCTAAATCAAGGAACTCATCTCTCTTGTGACCTCTGAACCTTATTTTGTCCAACTTCTTTAGCATGTTCAGCACTGCACTTCTCTGCTTTACCTTAACATGACGGTTGGAGTCTCTGCAAGAAACAAGACATCAAGAGGACTTTAGAAAGCTTGCACTAAACCTAAATACACACGTTCTAATCACTAACTACTTCTAACCATCTTTCAAGGGCCTTCTTGCCACTGGAGAGAAAACATGCTGCAGCTTAGCTTTTAACAGGCACTTTTTTTCCACAGTGTAACAGATGCATGGTTTGTTTTTCAGTAGTTGATGATTTACCATCTTCCCACACATAATAGGAAAATGGCCTCTTTCTCATGGCTATTTTTAAAGCAAATCTAAAGCTAATAACCTGCAGCCCAAAGAAAGATTAGGAAGTCAGTTCCTAACAGGTTACCTGAAACAAAAAACTGTTCACCTAGTAAGTCCACATTATTCGTCTTGCTGATGCTTCTAATCAAAGACATGCAAATCCACTAAGGTGCACAACCAATCTTTAAATTCCCAGAAAAAATGGAGGAAAGGAGTAAGGATGCTATCACATCTCCCTACTACTTCAGGCTAAGAAAAGAGAAAGTACCAAGGGTTTATTGAAGACATCTACCAGACAGACCCATGCAGAAGATACCACCAAAAAGTAGACCTTGTTGAAGTTGGCCCTAAAAGCCACATTCTAATGCACTGCCAAAATCCTAAAAGTTACCACTACTGACAATCTTGTATACCCTTTGTTAGATTTCTATTACTCCCTTTGAGATGCAAAGGAGAATACCTTTATTAGAGGTGCCTTCACATTTCTATAAAACTTTACTGCAAAAGAAGTGGCAGAGCAGCATTTCTGCAGAACATGCAGGTGCCACCGCATCCACCGAAATGAGAAATGCCTGGGACATTTCACTTCCAATGACAACATTTGACATGAGCAATACTGAAAATTCTAAATTATAAATCATACTAGGAGAAGCGTTTGGCCTGTTAAGAGACAAGAGAAGAAAGCTTAATTAATGTATGTGAACTCATTGTAATGGTAGCTTTCCAATACACTGCACTGTGTAAATTCTGTTTTAAACAAGACCTGCCAAATCAGTCCAATTCAATGCTCTACGTGTATCACTCTGTTCCTCAGCTCAGAGCATTCCCTTTGGAAGGTGCCACAATGTTCTCCTAAACAGCCTTCTGCAGTGCTAAGAATTTATTGAGGCACTTATTCCTGCTACTATCCTTGCTTCCCTATGGTCAACACTGCTATGCTCTTCATTAGAAAGCACACTAGCTTCATGGCACATCACCCCAGGCACTGGTGTGAGATGAAAAAGCAAAAGCAGAGCTAGACACGGGTCACTTCAGGAGTATAAATAAAGAGCAAGAAGAGCCTTTTGCTACTGGCTCCCACAGCCTTGACAGTTGAAGCAATTCTCACCTTCTAACACAAACCACTTTTCAACAGAGCTCTTTGTCTTTCCCTGCAGATTCTCTGCTTACCCTAACACTTTGGCAGTGACTATTCACACAAAGTTCAAACCAGATCGCTCCCCTCAAAATGTGCCTTACTTTGCACCTCTGCCAAGGTTTATTAGCACCCTTCACTTAAACACAGAAGTTTGAAACTAACATAAGTCCCCTATAGCGTAGCTGGCAGAAAACCCCAAAAAACCTCTTCCTTTATCAGGGACACTTCAAGCCGCAGTCATGTGCTTAATCTTTCACTTACAGAGAATCACTTGCATTAACTCACACCACTTATTTTCTATGAACAACTTTTCTTTGAAGTTCTATTACTTGTCAAAGTTAAGTTTAAAATAGAAACACTTCTTGCTCATTCATTGACTATTTGATGAAGAAACTTGTCAGCTATCACATCCAGAAATATCTCTAGGCCCTACTATTAATAGCACCTAGAGAACAAATGCTATCAGGGAAGTTTAAACCTCTGATAAGCACTGGCACAATTTTATCACGCTCCCTCCCATCTCAAAGATCTCCATCTGTGTTCAATCAGTTTGACTTACATACCACGTAAGTCAGACCTACAGACAAGTAGTTGTCAAACAATGCTGTTTCTTTGGCATTTGTGCTTACACTGCTAATGATACAGCTGCAGAAAGAAATAATAAGGATGGAAAAAAATCTTCATTATGAGGGTAGTGACACACTGACACGTTATCCAAAGAAATCATGGATGCTCCATCCCTGTCAGTGTTCCAAGGCCAGGTTGGACAGGACTTTGAGCCTTTTGAGCCCTGCCCATGGCAGAGGGGTTGGAACCAGATGATCTTTAAGGTCCCTTCAACCCAAACCATTCTATGATTCCAAGGTAGAGTGCTATCCCTTTTCTAGTCGGCGCTCATCAGCCCTTACCAATGGAGGACAAGTATGCATGCCAGGCCTCCTCCATCCCTCTTATGGATGAAGCAATTAAATCAAGGCTGCAGATAATGACTGCTGCTCTGGGCAGCATCAGGAGGTCTCATTGTTCTCCAATTAAAGCAACATCTATCTACTGCTCCCCAAAGACTAGGGGTGGATCTGGACCTCTTTTTATAGTGTAGCATATACAGCACTTCAGTGCACATTTCAAGACCTGAATTCAGTTTTCCCCTTGGAGTGGGTTCACATTCACTTATACAAAAGAAGTGACAGGCAACAAAACATCTTGAGACAAAGCAATCTCCAGCCCTTTCCTTCAAGTTCTGCCTTCAGGCAGTGAAGAAAGACCCAGGAGGACAGTGAAAAGGCCCAGTGGTGCAACTGCCTGGGTTGAACACTGGGAACACGAAGTCCTGACCTCCAGCCTCCTCCTGGGATGACAGTTCAAGCATTTCAGCCTAGGTCACAGAACAACCCAGCCAACAAATGTACCCACAAACACATTTATGGTATTTTTCTCTAGTAAAACTAACGTACCCAACCTTCAGCATGTCACCATCTGGTCTTTTAAAAATGCAAACCTTTCTTTAAAGCACTAACAGATCATTCCACTGAAGAGAGTCTGCTTCAACTCTGTAACACAGAGGCTATCAAAGAGAGATGACATCAGTGTCAGTGTTTTTTAAGGATTATTCAGTAGGTTGACCAGTAAAAGAGAAAATCATAAAGAATCATGTTCCAGTGCATTTTTTAAGTGTCCTAAGAACAAGAAGCTGTTATATAAAAAAATGTAAGATCATTTTGTCTAAAAATTGTTTTGGATGTACCAGGCTTCCATATTACTTGCAGTTACATTAGATTAACCCAAGCAAAAACCTAAGCTTGCCAACAAGCTTCTACAGAAACTCATTATCTGGCCTCCAGCCAAATGTGCAATCCAAGACAAGCTTTTTATGTCAGCAGCCTGTCCTTGCAGCTAGCAACTTCTTTTTTAGATAAAGTCAGCAAATATGGCAACATTTCAGCAGTTTCAGCTCACTAGGAAAAAAGCTTCTTGGAGATTTTGTATTCCAAGTGACTTGGGTCAAATTTAGATAAGGTCGAGGAAGCTTTTCCAAGACCAGAATCTGATTGAGAATCAGATTTATTATAAACTATAGTAACTAAATATTAAAACACTTGTTTCACCATCATAGCTATTCATCCCCTCACCCTCTCCCAACTACCCATCCACATCCTGGGCTCAGCTGGTTCAGCAATAAGTTTCAGGCTGTTTCTAGTAACTCCCCATACCAGGAATATCAAAACCAACATGCAGTTTTGCATGTGCAGAGCTCAGAGTGTGAATGCAGACCCACATCTCCCTCTTTCAAACACAGACACTGTGAAATTACAATAATAACACAAATATTTTAACCCCATGTGTTGTAAACACTCTCATTTCCCAACAGTCATACATGTGACAATGTATGTTAATGTCACATACACGTGACAATAATTGCTCTCCCTACTATACAACAATCAAGCTTTAAATTAAGAATTAAGATCAATATCATGCTTGCAAAGAATTAATTTGAACAAAATAAAAATCAAACCTATCCTCCCCAGTCAAGTTTATTTCTGCATACAAACACACTACCATCAGTGTAAGCAACTGGAGATCTTTCACACATTAAATGCTACAACAAAAAGTGCTGCACAGAAAGGCAGATGCTAACTCTGTAAGACTGATTTAGGTCCTACTTTGTTGCACCTCAACCAGATTTAATACTACTAGGAGGACCTCTGTTCTAATACAGTAAGGGTATCTTACATTAACATCCTTAAAAACAAGGCTATTCAGGCACCCAGGTTTTTTATTTCTCTTGTTACAGTAGCAGAGGTCAAACCAGCAAACTTAAACAGCAGCCCGTAAAAATTATCCTGAAGACCCAAACCATCTAGTAAAAAAACAGGCAATAGTTCAGGTACGCAGGGCTTGATTAGTTAAAATGGTCTTTTTCAGACTTAGAAAACAAATTAAAATCATCTTTAAAGGTGTTTTTTTTTTTAATTATCATTTGTATCTAGTTGCTAAAGCAAACCCCTCAAAGCTGAGGTTTTATTCCTTTTACAGAGGGCCAAAGAAGACATGACTTTATTTGGTCCTAACATGAAAACCCTCAATTAACCCTGAAATAACTGTCAGATGTTCAGTTTAAACCATTACACAATGACCCAAAACCCTGAACAAACATAGGCATACATTCCAAACTGATGCCGAGGAGAGAAAAATCATGTTTTCCCGAACTTTCACATAAAAATCACAAGGAGCTCTGGCACAGCTTTTTCTGCCTGTGTTCACAGAGAGGCTTCAGAAAGAAACAACCAGCTGCTGGGCAACAAGAGCCAGGCCTGCCCGGTGCAGTCTGGAGGGACTCGGTTATGGAGCTTGCTCCTACAGGCACCCCCCATCCCTTTGTGCCACTGCCCCTGCCATGCTCTGCTCTTGCATAAATGTGGAAGAGGTTGGGATGCAAAAGGGAGGAGGGAACTCAGGGAACAGCAGCACTCACTGCACCATGGCTGAAATCCACCTTAACTTGCTCCAGAGTTGCCTACAAGTGGCTTACAAGTTTTGGTTTGCTGTGGTTGCATTCAGTTTTTACACAATACACTCGGAGTACATGGCCTGGTAGACCAGGCAGATTGAACAGCTAAATCTTCATGT